CCTAATATCCAATCTAAACCTCCCCTGATGCAGCTTGAGCCCATTTCCTCTCGTCCTCTCGCTTGTCACTTGGGAGAAGAGCCCGACCCCCCCTCCCTGCCCCCTCCTGTCAGGAGCTGCAGAGAGCGATGAGGTCTCCCCTCAGCCTCCTCTTCTCCAGGCTGAACACCCCCAGCTCCCTCAGCCGCTCCCCATCAGCCTTGTTCTCTAATCTCCTACCACTCCTTACTGTTGCGTGTCCTGTTTGTTCATTATACAATTATCTCCCAAGCAACCTTTACTGGACGGACTGGAATCGCGAAGCACCCAAAATCGAAACTTCCACTGTCAATGGAGCCAACAGGAGGGTCCTGGTGAACAAGGACATCGGGTTGCCCAACGGCCTGACGTTCGACCCCTTCGCCAAGCTGCTCTGTTGGGCAGACGCAGGTAACGTCACCGAGGACGGATCAGACTGCGACACACTAAGCCTCGAGGGGAAAACCAGCTATAAATATCTTTAGCCCATTGCTGCCTGTGATCCTCTCTACCCCCTTCCACTGCCCAGCCCCAAAGGACTTGGTGTGATGGGGTTGGGGGACTCGCAGCGCGAGTTGCTTCTCCATCCTTAGGCTGAGAAGCTGTTTCAAAAATTAGTGAATGCAAAGAACACGTTCGGTGGGGGTTTTTTGTGGCCTGGTAACTGTCTTGTGTTTGAAAAGGAACGAAGCACCTGGAGTGCACATTCCCCGACGGCACGGGCCGGCGCGTCATACAGAACAACCTCAACTACCCCTTCAGCATCGTTAGTTACGCCAATCACTTCTACCACACGGACTGGAGACGGTAAGGAAAGAAAACCTGCTCCCTCCCATGGCCAGGAGCGCTGAGCTACAGCAATTCCTAGGGCTCCGCTCCCCTAAGCAGCCGGGAGCCAGCCTCTACCACTCCCTACCCGAGTCGTGCTAGCTTGGAGGGGCTTTGAGCCAGAGAGGGGAAAACAAATGCTGTCCCCAGCCTGCTCCCGAGTCCCGGAACCTCACCGGAGCACTCTCTTGGGTCTCCTGCAGTGCCACGTTCAGCAACAGCCACTTGTAAATCTCGATGCAGCACGGTTGTTTAGACCCAGCTTCCTGGGAGGGACAGAAATAGCGGTTGTTTTGTTATAAAATGACAACTTGGCACAAGTTTCTGCATCTAGATTGAGTCAAAGGAAAGATTCTGTCCTCAGTTGTTCCCTCTCCCCTGCCACCCAAGGCCCTCGGCATCAGGAACTCGTCTCTATCCCCACTCCAGCTGGAAGCTCTCAAAACTTCAATCAAATCTTAGCAGATTACAACCAACACTTAAACGCTCACCACGCTTGGAGGAGACTCTCGGGGAGATAATCTCTCCTTGGAAGGCTGTCTCTGTGACTCTGCGTCACCAAAGAGAAATGCGCTGAATGAGCTGGATGTAGATTTTACGGGGCAAATTTCTTTCCACTTGTTCTGCAGGTGTTCCCACCAATCTTTTTAGCTGCCTCTGTTCTTAAATGCATGTAAATGGGGTGGGGGGGTGGGGAAAAACCCCACAAGTTTCACAGATGAGCAAAGCACTTCTCCCCCTTTTATCACCAGGGATGGTGTGATAGCTGTCGATAAAGAAACCGGCTCCTTTACCGATGAGTATCTTCCAGAGCAGCGATCCCATCTCTATGGAATAACTGCAGTTTATCCCTACTGCCCCGGAGGTAAAACACATCAAAACCCACCCCCTCTTGACTGTCTGACGGCTGCCGTGCGCTTGGCACACTAAAGATGTCCGTTTCTCTCCGCAGCAAGGAAATAGTAACCGCTATTTTGAGAAACAACCATCTTTGCACCCAAAAGAACTTCAGACCCAGAAAACCGTCACTGCATACAACCGATGGGGCAAACCCTTAACCGAAGCCAATGAAGCGACCTACTTTCCTGCAAAAGATTATCCAGTATTTTTTTGAAGTTATACCTCAAGTCTTTACTACTGTATTTTTTAAAAAGTGAAAAACGTTGATATAGTAAAAAACAATGGTCCTGTGACTCTTTGGCCATTAATCTAACTCTTGCTTATGCAAGCAAATTTAAAATGTAGCTTTCTTATTCAAATGTTTTATTTTATTGGAAGAAGAACGGATTAATTTTGAATAGTTTTGACAATCTGACCAACAGGTCCTTTTATCAAAAAAAAAATAAGTGCATACAGGAAGCTTTGGATGCAGTATCTTGCTGGGTCTAAGTAATCTACAGCCCTGAAGACAGAGCCTGCGTGTGCTCCAGAAGTGTGCAGAAGAGTTATGTGATACGGCAAAGGCATTGAAGTTTTTTTCCAGAAGACAATTCTGTATTTTCACCACTGCCTCAATGCATGTCTTTTAGTATTTATATTAGAAGAATATGCTAGAATTGATTTGTTCATGCTTGTTGGTTCTTCTAAGTGCCTTCATAGACCTACCCAGAGTAAACCAATACATGTTCAGAAATGCCATTTACGTTGTAACGCTTCACTTTTTCTAGGTTACTTCAATAATTGAATAAAATGGTTGGTTTAAGTTTCCCTCTGGATTTAGGTTATTTTTTTTGTTTTGTTTTTAAATATTTCAGTTGCAGGGTAGACTGTGGAAAAGCAGCAAGCAAGGCAGGAGCGAGCTGTTCATAGGGCAGGACCTCAGCAAAAGAGGAATCTGCAGGGCCTTTATGTAACACTCCCTTCTCAACACAAAGCCAAACACAATGAAAAAGAGTCATATTTGCCAACTCCGAGCTAATCAGAACAATTTGTCTATTTTCCCCAGCTTCATTTATTTAAAGAAAAATGATAATTCATTAGAAGTCAGAATTCAATTTCCTGTTTTCTTTCAAAACAGTAAAATAATACCATGTCAAACTGCATGCCAGAGTTGTACAGAGTTGTACGTAGTTCCTAATCGTACTAAGTACACAAGAGACTAAAAGCTTTTATCTGTTCATCTCCCGACTTTCCCCAGTCTGTGGTCCGTCTTGGGATCAGCAATAATTGCCTGAACTGCTACAATCGCTTCGTTAATTTTTGTTTGCAGCTCTCGGAGCTCCTCTATATGCAGCAGGCGGAGAATTTGGGCAGCTTCATTGAGAACAGCATCTGGGTGAGATGCAGAAAGAGAAATCGTTATCAAGCATTTTCATCTGACACAAAGGTCTTAAGAAAAGCCTAATGTCAACGCTCTGCACTTCATTCATGCTTGCGGTTTTCATACTTGAAATAGGAAACAACTTTCCCTGCTGCTAGGGAAGGACAGGGTGCTCCGCAAAACCTCGCTCAGCTTTCCTGCAGCCCTCGCAGTAATCCACAGCCAAGGCGGGTCAGTGCGAAGCATTCCAAGCAGTAATTTAGGTGTACACGGGGCAAAAGCGAAGCCAGACTAGCAGAGTCCCAGGTCATCTGGCTATCGTTTACAGGATAATCTATCGGATCATGCCAACTTGCACCGCCTCGGATTAGATTTGAGGTAAATGATGCAGCTAAAACAGAGGGAAGCAGCACAGAGGTCCTCTACTGGTAGAGGCAAGATTTACAACAGTAACGAGATGCATTCCTCCCGCTTGCGAGCGTGGCTGCCAATTAAAAGCTGTTATTTAAACATTACTCTGAAACAACATATTCCACAGCTAAGATTTATGCTTTTCTGTTCCAAAACAAAATGCTTAGGAGTGCTCATAAATAACAAGCTGGGAGGGAGCAATTCTTTCCACCACAGGCTTTTTTACTGTACACATTAACTACATACTTGACAGTAATATACTTAATCAGAGGCAAACATCACCATTTAAAAGTAACATTAAGAGACCTGCTTACCTCCGGTGTCAAAACCAAGAATGTGCTTTTCTAAAGCAACGGGCAAACCCTTTAAAAAGAAAAAAGCATGTTCAAATATAATTAGAAATGTCATTTTACGTGTTTGGAAAATAAAATCAAGTACCACAGCAGGCAACTCTGGAGGAGAGGACACTTGAGTTTGGCTTATACAGGCGTGCGTGACAACTTCAAAAAGTCATCGTGCCCGATTACACACGAGTGCCTTTGTGTCCCAAAGCATCAAACCCAGAGTATTAATAAAGAAAAATCTTCATGCTTAATAATCCCCCCCTACTTATCAAGCGAACCCCATTGGATACACGCTGCCCACATTCAATCCTTAAAAGGCTAACAACAGTACTGCGAGAGAACACCCAACCCAGCAACATCGCTACCCCGACAAACAAAAAGCACGCACAAACCGGGCTTGCTTCGAAACTATTGCCGCTAAGCAGCTGCCCGTTTTCAAAGCACTGGCTGATTTGCAAGAGTTGTAAAAATTTTCTGTAATCAAGCGAGTTTCTCAAGCACTGAGCTTGCAACCTCCATCAACATCCCCAGAAGCATTTTCTCAAGTGTTAAGCTTAGGAATAAAGCTAGACATTCCATTTTCTAAACACTTGCTCTATTAAGAGAGTACAAGGAAAAGTTTTATTAGTGGCCATTTGTAAGCATTGCTCGCTTTCCTTTACCCTCTCCAGCTGCAGAGGAGTGGTCATGCTAAACAATCACTACCATGTTTCATCATGCACAGAAAATTAGATTTAAACAAGGCAAATCTTAGAATTTGCTTTTACTACCTCTAACTTTTTTCAAGATCTGCCTGGGCACATTTGCCAAATGCCTTGCATTTGGCACAACAAAAACATTCGAGTTCAATACCATTCATTTCTACAATGATGGGGTTGTGAGCCTTCTAAACAGTGAGGATTTCTTTTAAAGGCTTTTATATACATGCAAAAGGATTCTGAGTTGATCAAAACACACACTAAATACAAAATGGTGACTGTGACTCATTAAGAGTTATCCCATTTTCAAAAAGTGGTTCTTTTCCACAGCCTTCACAATAAAATGGATGTTCAATTGCAATCTTAAAAATACTTCTCCATTGTTAAAATCTAACCTGCTTGTCGACAGGAATGC